AATTGAACTTTATTCTGAAGTTTCCTTTGGCAGTGGAATATCTTTGAAGAAATTGTTGCTTATATATAAACCACAATATAAGGTTTGAAATTTACGGGAAGATTGTCTCTTTGGTTAACAGAACTTTGCTTACTGAGTAATTATGTGGAGATTTAGGAGTTTTAGTGTCTTCATAACTTCTTTTTAGATATTAACCTCAAACTTGGTGGAATTCCAGAAATACTGTGGTTGTTTTTAATGAAAAGTTCAGATAGTTGTATGACTTTTATGCATCTATTTCTGTAGTGCTAGAAACTTTGCCAAATTATAATGTTGAAAGCACTGAACCTTTGTAGTTTGTCAAAGAAGGACAAATTCCAAAAGGCTAATTTCTTTCTTGCATGTTCTTTGTTATTTTATATTTGAATAACCTTTGTTTATACCATTAATGAAGTGTTTCGGCTTAGAGCTTTTCCAATGTCCAGCACTGGGCAATGTATTTTATTTACTGCATAAAACTTTCTTTTAATGTATTAGCTAGCTGCTCAGTAAATCAGTTGCTATGCTCAATTTTCATGGTGCTATCATCAGTCTGTAATAAAAGAAGTTGTCATATTCTGTTTTATCTGTAGAGTACAATTATTCTTTAGACATAGAACTTTTACTGAAAGTTGTCACCTCAAATCCCTTATGGAATACTTAAGTGTTGTTGGTTTTCAAGTAATGAAAATATACACAGAATTTGAATAAGGCTGTAGAAAACATACAAATCACATTTCGTACAAGCACGTTTTGGTTTTGTTATTTTTAAGATTCTATTTTTTACTTTTATTTATGTGTATGCATGTTTGTCATGTGTGTGGGTGCCAGTAGATGAGGTTGTTGGATCCCTTATTGCTGGAGTTGCAGGCTGTATGGAGCCACCTGTCTTGGAGGCTGGGAGTGGAACCCAGGTCCTCTACATGCAAAGTAGGTACTCTAAAAGCTCAGCTATCTCTCCTGTCCACACTTTTCATTTTTAAACTTAGTTGCAATGGTGCTTTTGTATATTTGTGTGGCTAAAGAGTTCCCATCATGTGATTACAAACAACCTAGTTACACATTTTGAGTTTTCTTTTGGGCTTTAGGCAGTTTAATAGTACTTTAAATATAATCTATATCTTGTATTTGATTACACTTTTAGAGTTACTAAATGTTTTTCACATAAATTTGTTTCTCTTTCAAATCTCTTGTGAAAGGTAAGGCAGATTGACTTATTCCCATTTTGTAGATGAGCACTGCATTCGATATTTAATGCCTGGTCTACGATCTAAATAAAGACATCTGGGACTAGCACCTAGGTCATTTCTCTTCTGTGGTTTCCAAGATATGAACAAACAAGCTTACCATTAATGATAGCACTCCTTTTTTCCATTAGATTTCTTTGAAGTTATTACATTGTAGCAATGAATTGGATGGCATTTTATTTCTTGGCATCTGAGTGCTATTTCATTCTTTCATTTTCTCCTTTTCTGTAGTAGTGATAATTGTATTAATAGACTCTTCATGTTTTCCTTGCCTTCAGACTTTAGAACTTATGACACATTGTTTTCTCCTGGTTTAAATTTTTCCTGCTTTCTACAAATAAGCCTGTTGAATATAGAACATATTTTGCATGTACAAGCCATTTTTTTCATCAAGCATTTGCTAGACATGCACTCTATCTCGTGGTGTAATAGATCTTGTAAAGAACACACAAGAGACTTTACTTATAGATGTTCAAAGAATAAAGCATATACAGATTGAGAATCCTTTAGCCTAGATACTTGGAAACAGAAGTATTTGGGAATTTTAAAAAATGGAGTATTAGCATAGGTTTTTAATGATTGAGTATCCCTAATCCAAAAATGCTCCAAAGTTCATGATACTTAAGACGTTTTGGATTTGGTAACATTTAATAGTTGGGGCTTTTAGATTATGAATGATCGGCTTGTACTGAGCACCCAAAGGACCACTGGGAAGGAATTAATAAATAAATGCAAGGTAAATTGCACATATATATTCTGGGTGCATTTAATAACTCATGAGTGTCATCTTAAAATTTATACTTTCTTTTAGATTATTAACATGTGTGATTATATTTGGGACTAGGGTAATTATGATATGAGGGAGGGTAGACTAACTAATAAGAAAAGTATAAGGAGCAAAGCATGGAGATTAGACTGAGGAAATTTGGTAATAGAGATGCTGGGTTGGAAAGCAGGTTTAAATAAGACCAGAAGATTAGTAAAGAAGGTAATTTTTTTTTAGAGGAAGACTTTGGATGGGGGTGTGGCTAGGGTTTAGGTTTGATAGGGAATGGATTACTGTGACTTCTTGAACATTTTATTAGCATAAGCTTACCATATTTATCAAATATAAGGCTTTGATATCAGGTATTGAGCAGTAAGGCAGCTCAGTGAGAAACTTGGATGTTCTGGAGCAGAAACTGATGAAGCAGACAAGCTGAATGTGAGTCTGTTGTACTAAGACAACAGTAGGCTAAGGATGTTAACTGTAGTCATCTTTTGGGGAATAAAGCTTCCAGTGAAGTAATAACCATCCGTACTAAAACAATAAATCAGAAAGAAATGCAGAAATATCCTGCTAGACACCACATAGTGACAGGACAACTGAATCTTTAAATAGAAGGTTCTTTCCCTTCTTTCCTGAATGTTCTTTCCTGAACGTATCTCTGTCACATTGCCAAGTCTTAAGAGTTTCAGTGATAATTACTTTGATAATTACCACTATTAAGCATCTACTAAGCATGTGCCAGATACTGTGGCATGTTCTTTGCATGTACTAACTCATTTTTTTTTTGTCATACCAAACGTAATGGCAGGGACTGTTATTCCTATGTTTTCCTGTTAGGTCTCAGGATAAAGAAGTTCATCAAGCTAACTGGTAATGGAGAACTGAGGCAGGTTTCAGAGCACGATCTATTAATTTTGATGGTTACACTGTTGACTTGCTTTTAAAATAAAACTCCCATGTCTGCTTTAAATTCTCAGAAATATTTCCATGGCTTCTTCAACCTGAAAATATTTTTAAAGTATTTTTCACATTTTATGTTTTTCATATTGTTTTAAAACATTAACAGGAGTCGGGCATGGTGGCTTATTCCTTTAGTCCGAGCACTCGGGAGGCAGAGGCAGGTGGATTTTTCTGAGTTCAAGGCCAGTCTGGTCTACATAGTGAGTTCTAGGCCAGCTGGGGCTACAGGGAGACCCTGTCTCAAAAGGAC